CCATTCTAGTTACATACGCCTCAGCTAAGGACTAGAACCTACTCAGCATGTAAATCAAGCTTGGTTGATCCACATCGAGATTGGACTTTTCATTCAATGGAAACGTATAGAATTATAATACGGATAATTATATTTCATACTATTGTCTTTATTGGAGAGTTAGAGAAAGCAGCAGAATTTATAATTTGGAGGACAAATTACGAGAAAATGCTAACTATGGAATAATATTAAGTGTATCTATAGTTACCTAGCTAGTTATTGATACTGGCTATATACTATTTCCGACTGCAAGAAATATACTAATTATCGTATGACTATATAAAACTGTAGCAAAGGTAGATCATAACCTAAATTCGAATCGAGCCAGCCAAACGCCTAAAAACGTCGCGTCTGTTTTTAAAGATGCGAAAAGTTGCGCTACAAAGACTAGATTTAAAATTATAAAGCCATTAAACGCAGACGATCAACAAATTCACTTGGAACTGAAATGAGAGGTTTTTCCTGGTTCTTTTCCCCTAAATACGATTTCAATAACAGCACTTATTATAAATTATGGCAAAACATGCTAACTACTCATTAAAATTAAGGCAAAATATGCATAATTTAACTTGAAATAAGTTAAAACTAAATAGTAAGTACGGTATATATATATGTGTGTGTGTGTGTGTGTGTCAGTTCTTAAAAGAAATGTGCTATACCTTCGTAGGCAATCCATTCCATAACTTTGGAAGAATTAAGCGCTGTTTTTTGTTAACCACTTCTTTTATATATGACAACTCTATATCCAATGGAGCCAATCATAACATGCTCCTGACTGAACTTCGCTTTTTACATGCTGACATTGTATCTCTAGCTGTTAATAGAAGAGGCTATTTAACAAACGGGGTACGTACTCAGCTGTTTTGCATCAAGGCCTTCCCGTGTCCCCCGGTGGCCGTGTCACGGTTCAAAGTATTCTCTGCCTTCATTGTTAATATGAAAGATACCCCAGCACAGGACAACGGATATGCATTTTATGCTGACAATCTTACACTTCGTGCTTGTACAATTACAATCAAAACTCCAACGGCATGAAATGAATAACATTTCTGAATCATGTGGAGAAGGCTCAACAATGTGCTTACATTGTCTTCTGTGTGCTTGATGTCCAACGTTTCTGTTCAAATATAGTACTATTTTCATTCAGACTGAATGGGCTCTTAATATAGGACGTTGAATTCGCTAGTGGCCTTGGAGTAGTCGCGACACCTGATTTACGTTACGCTGTAATCCATCTGAGCTCAACAGATTTACGACGTCAAACCAATGCTTGTTCAAGCAATTTAGGCGAGCAAGCTAATCTAGGATAAACTGTATTTTATTTGTAGGTTTACTATTCTGTAGTCGTTTCTAATTGAAAAGAACGAGAACTCATGTTGAGCTTGGTCTAAAAAACGGGCGTTCAGGTCAGGACATTCTGAGGAATTGTTCATATTTCAAAACCAATCAAGCAGGTGATGTAGCGGTCGGTCTGCGTAATCAAAGGAGATCCTATAAAATCCGAGGGTTAAATTACGCGTACACTAACTTTAGTCAAATGGAATAGAGGTGATAAATATATCGCGGATCGGCGTCAGTTTCATCACTACGGGCAGAATACTGATAGCTTGTATGACTGGCTTCCCTATAGCTAAACAGCGAAAAAATAGTGAGTAAAGCAAAATTGGCCAAAAAAAATATGGCCTAAGAAGAAAATCGGCTGCAGTAACATTAAATGCTCAGGCGCAGATAGACTTCTGCATGCATATATAGTCATACTTAACACGAAGCCCACTATAATTCAAGCAGACAAATGTGAGATTATCCTTAGAGAAAATTGCCCTTTTAATCATTTCTACGACACCTACAAATTAGAGAGATTATTTTTCTTATTGATCTGTATTAGGTAAGCTGAGTATTGATGTCATTAGCTTTATGTGAGCAGGTTTACGCTAAAGGAGATGGCCTTACTAGCTAAGGTGGTATGACAGCAGTCAGAGAAGTCAATATTAGGTTTATTTGGCATACGCGGTAATGGCCACAGTTGAATAGGTGTCGTACATTTTGTACGTATTGATTGAGACTTCCAGCGATCTTATCAAGCGGAATCGTTCGTCGTAAAGGCCTCACACCAAATCTGAAACGAACGTCCTTTTCTAAACGCGATGTATTAATACTATAACATATCATACGATGTTATATATATCAAAGGGCAAACGATCTTCAAGGGCCGTTAAGTGTCATGGCAGCTAATGGCTGTTCGACTATGTTCGTTCGCAGTAGTCTTCACTTAGTGATCACGCATCGGGTGCGCATACTAATTTTCAACAGTGGAAACGCTAACATGTACAGTGATATGTGCAATTATATATATATATATATATATATATATACATATATATATCTATTGCTAGGCAATTTGCCGGATACTTATGCTGGTGTATACAAATATTCCACATCAGAATATGCCAAGCAAATTCGACACAGCTGAGAACGTTTGTAGTAAGTTTGATGTAATAGAATACAAAGACATCAACAGCAGGCGCGTTAACAGGAAATATCAATTTACAGTTCAAAAAAAAGAACAGATTAAGTTGCACTCCTGAAAGAGGGGTGCCTCTTGAAGACTGGTTAGATTCAAATAAAACCCACTTCGGTACGCAGCCCAGCTGATGTAAACACGTTGTGGCGCACCCGTCTGATTACGGTGATTTGCAAAGACCAGAATAAAAGTAGCGACAACTCATAAGAATACTGACGACCTAGGCCAACCGGGCGAAAACTGTTTCGTTTCATGAAAAGACACATTTTCAAGTATTTACAGATATACAATATGCATTTATGAAAGGCTCAGTACAAAGACGACGTGGGCACAATGTACAGGTGTACTATAAACTGCTGATTTACAGGGTCTTGAAGAAGACATTTCGCGCTGTGGTGCCGTGACGATATGCGAAATCACGACAGCCTTTTTTTAGCTAGTTGACATATTGTGTCGTGGTCAGATTGTGATCCCGTTAGTAGCGGGGATTTGCTGGCCGCTTGGAGCATCGAAGGTCAGACACCGGGGTACGATCGGCTCCCTTTCCAGCTTCTAACATTGCTGCATCTGCTGACTTAACGATCATATAACGAACTTATAAACTTGGACCCCTTTTTAACCTGGCTAATTATATCAGTAAGCACTTGCCGGAGAAGGAACCCTTCTGCCCTCTACTAGTATAAGGCGTAGCGGTTTCGTTTGTATAATCCAATCAAGTAACACCCTGATAGCTGCAAAAACCACTTATACATTTATGTCCTAAGGCAATTATGTGGATGCAGTCTCTTAACACAGAGTGTTTCTTTCTACCATGTTTGCTCACGAGCAGAATCTGATGCCAGCCTTAGCGATAGAACACGGTAACACAAATGATTATTTTTAGTATAAGTATACATCATGACATCCCGGTATAACTATAGATGGTGCTCTCTTCAGCATTGTTTTGTTGAAAAGGTTAACGAGTCTGATTTTTCTGATCCTAATGAATGTAGTCGAGCGAGATATTATTCAAGGATGGACAACATCTTGATAGTAAAACTATGAAATAGTTACCCTTTGAATATTTTTCGTATCCACATAACGTAGAAAGCGAAATTTGGTTCAGTTATTCTATGGGACCAGAATTTGTTGTACGATAAACGTATATTTTCTGAAAAGCCCCTATGCACAACTGCCACGTTATAATCTCGCACGTGTAAGTACCATATATGTGATCCACTAGATCTCTGTTGGTTTTGTGGCTTCGTAGAAGCTGCAACGAAAAATTCCAGCCATTTTTTGGCGTGTACGGCCGATGCCTTTAGCGTTCCACGTACAATCGTCTCCTACAGCCACCATTTCAAGCGAATCATGACTAAGTACTATCAATACGCTCATCATATGAAAAATTATTATAGTATATTATAATATGTCTACGATGGTAATTTAGGCTAATTTTACAAAAAGAAACATTTCTTTTATCCTTACCTATAATCAAACCTGGGTAAATTGTAACTTGTTAAGGCTTACCTGCATCCAGGCGAAGCGTTAGATTTTCAGAACAATTAAAATAATTACTTTAAATGACGACTGGACTTTTTGGTTCCGAATAATCATCAACCACCCCCTGATACGCAATTCCAGCAAAGCACCCTTGTTGCCAGCTAGCACCGATAATCATATTTAAACGATAATCAACATTAATAAATATTTATTTTTCATGAACTTGATTTCTAACATTGACTTTGTTTGAACCATATGAAATTCACCTTTGTAGAATGGAGGTGTTTTTCCCCCGGGCACTTCTGTCATTATCTTTGTTTTGATCAAAAGAATATCCTCTCTTCCGAATACGATTTTCGTTTCAACGAAAGCCCGACACTTCTGCATTGAACTGTCTTTATTCTACACTATTTTAGAAGATGGAATTCGACAAAAAAAAATGTAACAATAAGATCAGCTCGATTAAAATAGATACAAATTTTCTAGAAATGTTCCGAAATGAAGGAATTGTGTGTAAGTATGTAGAAGGACCCCTTCATATGATGTAGTACCCAGCAAAGGATGAAACGTCAACCTTCTTGTCACTACGAAAGCATTTTTCTTCAAGATTACTTAAGTCGCTCTTACTTCTATCCAGCTTGTTATTTGGCATTATGAGCGACTGCATACTTATACATGAGTCGAGCAGTTTTATTTGGCGAAAATTATGTCCCTACCTCTAGTAGTTTGTGCTGTATAGAACAATGTGTACAGAGCTCTTGCCGTGGTCGAAATGTTTGTCTTCCGAAAAAGCCGAAACGCGTTAACGGTTCATGTTGGGAACGAACCCGACGCCAGTCGAACAGGAAAGAGTGGCCGCTAAAAAGGTAAGGAGGAATCAGTGGCGGCTATGCGCGCGTCCGCCCAACTTTGTTGCCGACGCATTTCAGTTAGACTTCTGTTGGCTGTCAATGGGGACAACACGCGTCTTCTGTGAGCCACAAAAGAGTAGCCACGAGGTTCAATGAAGTAGCGTACTGACATCGGCAGGCGCATTCATCACTTCGGACTAAAAAAAACAGCGAAAAGGCTTTACTGTTTTCCGCAGGTTACACAGGTGCTTTATGAACTGTCCTTATCATAGTTGTGTTTAACGCACATGTGTGGGTATGCATTGAGACTGAACTCTTTCTGTAAACAGATTGTGGCCACTTCTACGTTCGCGTTATTGGAATACTGTCTGTGTCGTCGTTTGTGACCGTGTTGGCCCCGGGTTTTTCATATCGTGTGTTCATCTGCGCCTTAGGTCTGGGGTGATCCTACCTCCAATCGATCAGTGCACCATTTCGGAACTACTAACATCACCGCTAGTAGGCAGTATTGAGCCTGTGGAGATATAAAAAAATGAAGCTATTTATCGCCCTGACGGCCTCAACTCTTCTTGCAGTGGCAGGTGCGTACATTAGCAAATCATATTCCAAATCGAGGGTCTCCCCCTTGACTAACTTGACCACCTCTGTAGAAGGTGTCTACAAATGTCCGTGCTGTCTTACCGTTTATCTTACCGGTTGTTTAGCGACGCTTTCTAACTTACGCGTTACGTTACGTTAAAGACACAACCGTCACCTATAGGGGATGCAAAAACAGTTGAAATCCCAATGAAAAATCATCACAGTTTTCATATATTCCACGTATTACATTACAATTCTAGAAGAAATCAGTGATTTAGCTGAACAATAGGACAAAACGGCCTAAACGGTTGAATTTCCTTTGCATGATCTAAATATTATTAGTTCTTCTATTGCCTGCCGCGCGATTGAAATGACGGAAAAGTCCAATCAGTAGCCATGATGCATTGATCTCATTATTTAAAATATATATATTAAATGACACCAGTAATTTGCTACGAATAAGGTATAAGGTGACACAACGAATCATTGGACTGCGTGGACACTTGTAAGTTAAAGATTAAAACCTCTATAATTCTTGTTACGCTAAAAAAAGTTCAATAAAAACAATCAAGTACCGTTACTTTGGAAGCCTTTTGCTTTATTGTAGTTGCCATATTCGGTAAACTGTAGAAATTAAAAAAAATCAATGATTGAAGTCTTTTCAATGAGGTGGCAACTCTTACAAGATTATTCTTGTTTGTTAGAGGCGGTAACTCTGCGAGCTATCACCTGGTCGAAATGCAGTCGTTACTGATTTTGCACCAGTTAATAGCGAATAATCAAATTTCCAAAATGGTATTTTTTTTTACAAATCGCACATTTTTTGAAAATGTATTTTTGTGAGGCTGTACCAAAGGCTGATTTTGCAGGGGCCGTAGATATCGACCGTTCGTAACCGAGGCTACAGTTACTATGACTTAAATAAGTTCCGATGGTTTGCCTTGGACTGCGCTTCAAATGCGTGAAGTGTTATTGTTTAGGAAACGCGAACGAGGATCACTGTGAACGTATCCTCGTGTGTACGTTTAAGATAGCATTTATCTAAACCAGATAAATTTCTGCTTTATATTGGATCATGCCAGCCTTATATTAAAAACAAAAGCCTAATGTATCAATTCGCGCAACATATATACAGCATTATAAATAGCATTAGGACGTTTTAAATTGCTAACATTTGTCTTCATCTTTTCTATTAGTATCCCGTCGGTCTTACTTTTCAATTTTTCGTAAAAATTCGTAGGTAAGAAGTCGAAAAATGTTAGATATGAAATGCAGATTATAACTGAATATGTTCTTCCCAACGAAAAAAACGTTTGCTCGAGCGAAACAGCACGGGAGTTATATTTCGAAAGTCGTTTAGATGAAAAGAAAAAAAAAAGCAAAAACTTTCTTATTGTGGAACCTATTTTACGAAACAATAAGGAAAAAAGGTCGATTTGATTAATTCATTCAGGCTAACCGGACGTACGTGACCGCATCAACACCCACCTCCTAAAACCGTCTGGGTCAATCTCGGGTACAATGAGAACCTGCAATTGCCAGTCCTAGCACAGCATCACTTAAAAATGATGCTATATTATCAACATGTTTAAAATTACGCCGTTTGGTTTGATATGACATTGGCTTCCATTACGTGTTTTTTCGTATCTGTATATAGGAATCGATCTCAAAACCGCTGCCGTCTATGCATTT